ACTATAAGTAAACTTACACTTATTCTAAGTTAGATCCACTATTGTATGCTGTTGCCGTGTGGCAACATATCATAAAGTACCTTAAAATTGTTTTTTACTTTTTTCAAATTTTTTTTTTTACAGCACTTCAAGTTAAGCCATTCTTAGAAAAGAAAAAGTGTAAAATATTTTTTTCTATAGGTCTTATCGTAATGCGTGCGGTAGTGGTTAAATTAAAATTTTAGTATTCCAAAAAGCATGTCTATTTCATTCAAAACATGGAACTTGACTACAGCTTAACAGTTTATTAAAAGTTTTTAGGGCCTTGTTAAATCAGTTTTATTTCACTTTTTTTGTTTGTTTTTTTCCTCCTGGATTCCAGTTTAATGGTTACATTTTTAGTTGGGGGTGCACGAGATTGGATTTTTGCCGATATTTTTCAACTGGTTTTAGCTGATGCCGATATCGATATATAATTCCTTTTGTTTGGAAAAACACCAACTTTCTCCTGTGCAGAGGTTATAAACAAATTATTTTACATTTTTGTTAGTTTTGAGCAAAAACTTGCTTGTTAGAAGAAAACATTATTAAAGTTATTTTTATAATTACATTGAAAGCTTTGAAAATAACTGATAAAATCAATCACTGCTGAAAATCAATCACTGCTGATTGATGAAGTAATTTTAACATTTTATTTGTAGATTTAACATTTTGTAGATGTTGTAAAACTTGTTTGTTTTTTTTGTTTTTTTCATTTGAAAAATATATTACACTAATGAATAAATCTGTGTATATATATATATATATATATAAATTTATTTAATTTACAAGTGTCATGTTTGTTGTTTTTATTCATGTAAATTATAGCTTCTGACCTTTTAAAGTGATTTTATGACATTAATTACTGCTTTATTCAGAAACACAACCGTCTTAATGTTATCTGTGGATGTTACTTTTCGTTTTATTACAAGTAGGCCTACAGCGCCCCCTAAGTAAATAAAACGTCTTACCGGACGGGCATTAGGACCCGGGGAGGATGTTGCTGTTGCTGCATGTGCTAGTAACTGTTGAGGCTCTCACACACCGGACACCTCATTCTGCACATGCATCCTCAAATTAAATGCAGTGAATCTAATCACCATTCAGGCAAAAGTTTGCTTCAAGAATAGGTTTGTCCGACTTGAAGCGGCGCTGCACAGACCGATCGGTGTATGACATCAAATAACCGCAGATGAATCGCTCTCGCTGTACTTTGATGTCAAACACCGACTGGTCTGCACAGCACCGCTTCAAGCGAACACACCTTACAAGCGAGCACTGCTGACGTGATCGTATTGCCATCGGCAAGGCAGATCAGCATAATTTCTCATATCGGGCCAATGCCAATATTTACATTTTAAGCCTTTATCTGCTGATTCCGATAATATCGAGCATCCATATTTTTAGTAATCAAAAGCATGTCTAATTTATTGAAATCATGAAACTTGTAAAATGTAACGATAAAGAAATTTTTAGAGCCTTTTTATTTTTTCAATTTGTATTTCCCCCCCCCCATCCAAAAGCTTGAAATCATGGAACCTGTTTATGAAACTTATTTAACATCAATTTATTGAAAGTTTATTTATAAAGATAATATAAATTTATATTCTATTTATTTTTATGAATTTTCTTTCTTCTGGATTTATGATTTAATCAAATTATCAAAAAAATATGGTAATAAAAGGCATGGAACATGAACGGTTATTTCATCTTTAAATAGAATCAAATGAAATGTAAAATTCCTTATGCAGAACATGCAGACTTCATATTTCAGTAGCAGTCTTTTTAAACTTGATTTATTCATCCCAAATTTGCCCAAATCCATGAAATTCTGCATTATACAGTAACTATTGTTAATATTATATACATATTACATTAGATATATTACATTATTTACATTATACTGTATGCATGTTGTGATCTGTTTTTCCAGAGGCTGTCCCTCTGCTTGTTGGAGTGATCCAGTCTCCAGACTCCAGAGCTAAAGAAAATGTCAACGCCACTGAGAACTGCATCTCTGCTGTGGCCAAAGTCATGAAGTACCGCCCAGAGTGCGTCAACGTCAATGAGATCCTCCCTCATTGGCTGTCCTGGCTGCCACTCAATGAGGATAAAGAGGAAGCTGTCCACACGTTCAGCTATCTCTGTGACCTCATTGAAAGGTGAATGTCTGTTAGCTGATATGAACACTGGGAGTTTTGAATGCAGGTTTGTGATTTGACTTTTTAATGTCCATTTCTTTTCGCAGTAACAATCCCATTGTTCTTGGACCTGACAATACGAACCTTCCCAAGATTTTCATTATTATCGCTGACAGTGTTGCGAATGAATCGATTAAAGGCAAAGATGGCTGCAGCAAACGACTGGCCAACGTTATTCGTCAAGTACAAGTAGGTTTCATGTCATTTTAATATGAACAAACTGCTTTATTACATGCAGGCAAACTAACACCAGTAGAAAGATTGCAGAACTGCAAAATTATTATTTTTTTTGTGCTAAACAAATAATGCTTTCTACAAAGCTATGCAGTTTTGTTTTTATTAATACTTCTTGGTGAATATTAGTGTTTATCTTATGTTGGCACTTATAGATTGTTGTTAAAAATGGCTTTAATGATTTCAAACTGTTTTTTATTATAGTAGTCAACATTTGAAGTGGATCAAAACCTTTCATCAAAGTTGTCCTAAAACCAAAACAATACCCGTTCTTGTCGTAGGACAACTTTGATGAACTTTTTTGATCCACTTCAAATGCTGACTACTGCATGTTGCATGCATTATTTTAAATTTTAAATAGTTACTCTTTAAAAAAAAAAAATGCATGTTTATCAATATAAATTGAATATCAAAGGGCTAATTTATGCATGTTGTATAGCCTTAGCATTTCAAAATCTCAGCATTGCATTTTTCCCCCCCATGTAGATATGTATATTGATGCCTATAAATATCAAATTGTTTATCCTTGTTCTTTAAAGAATTCATAAGATTTCAAATTTATATTGAATATCTTAAAATATTAAAATGTGTACATTTAGAAAATGTATTATATTAGCAGAAATCTATTTTCAGTATATCTAATGATGGTTAATCTGTGTGAAAAGTAGCCCTTTTTTGCTTCTAGGTTGACCCAAGTAGAATTTGCACGGTATTTCAATGTCAAATGTCTGACTGTGTGCTCCCATGTTTTCAGGTTTCTGGAGGACTCTGGGCGCAGTGTGTTTCAGTGCTCAACGAGACTCAGCAGAAGGCCATCCAGGACCTCCTGAACACGGCTTGAGTGAACGAGCGAAGCCTTAACCCTATAAAACAGCCCTTTTAAAAAGTTTCTCTTTTAAAAAAAAAAAAAAGCATGTTTATCAATATAAATTGAATATCAAAGGGCTAATTTATGCATGTTGTATAGCCTTAGCATTTCAAAGTCTCAGCATTGCATTTTTCCCCCCCATGTAGATATGTATATTGATGCCTATAAATATCAAATTGTTTATCCTTGTTCTTTAAAGAATTCATAAGATTTCAAATTTATATTGAATATCTTAAAATATTAAAATGTGTACATTTAGAAAATGTATTATATTAGCAGAAATCTATTTTCAGTATATCTAATGATGGTTAATCTGTGTGAAAAGTAGCCCTTTTTTGCTTCTAGGTTGACCCAAGTAGAATTTGCACGGTATTTCAATGTCAAATGTCTGACTGTGTGCTCCCATGTTTTCAGGTTTCTGGAGGACTCTGGGCGCAGTGTGTTTCAGTGCTCAACGAGACTCAGCAGAAGGCCATCCAGGACCTCCTGAACACGGCTTGAGTGAACGAGCGAAGCCTTAACCCTATAAAACAGCCCATCTATTGAGGATTAATAAACTTTGCACCTGGAATTCCACATCTAGATTTTTGGCCCTTTCCTTATTTTGAGTAAAGAACTGCCATGTGACTTGAGTTTGTGTTGGGCCTCTGAGCCGTCTGGACCTGATCTCTCAAAGTCTTCAACAACAGCAGGGCCGAGCGTCCAGCGACTACATGCGTGTTTGTGCGTCTCACCTCAAAAAGGGCCAATGGCTTCAAAAACCCTCATCTTGAGCGGACGTGGGGGGTTTAGGGGTATGAAATGAAACTAACAGTCATCCATCATAGATCGTTAAGAATTTCTGGTGTAGAAATTGTGCTTTTCTCCCTTATGAGATCAGTTATAGTTGTTTTGTCAACTTGTGTGTCTGTCAATCCTTGCTGATGCTGATTTAGTGGTCGGTCCGACTCTTTTCACCGATGGATTGGACTGAACCGGACTCTGATTTGGATGAGCTCGAATGCAATAGAGCGATGATGCAGCGGTCATGGTGTTGACTTCTTGTTTGGTTTTCTTTTAGGTTTTTGTTTTCTCTTCAACGCTGGTCCAGATCGCCGGCGATGATGTTTGGGAGAAACGGGCAACGGTTTGCTCCACCTTCGCTGATATGTGTGTCACTGCTAATATTGTCTGTCATTGGCTCACTTAATCCATTTAATGAAATAAACAACATAGGAAAACCGGGACTCTGGGTTCAGGGCTTCTGATATTATGAAGGCAATGCACAAACCTGAAGCCAGATGGCTTATGGGTTGTCACATGTCCATGGAACATTTGTATATGCAATCTATCCTGGTTAATCATTTTACAACACTTTCAGTATTAAAGCTGCAAGACATGCTGAACTTTGTGTCAGTTTCATTGCTATCTAATGCTCTCAATACGTGAAAATGGAATCCAGTTAGCTTAAATACAATTAAAATGTAAATGTTACATTACTTTGATCCTATTAACTACAGTAAACTTTTTTTTCCCTCTAAGGTTTACTGTAGGTTTTCTCACTATAATGCTTTTTAACTCGTTTACAAGAGGATACAGTGCTTAAGGCGGAAACTAACATTATGGAAGCTTTTCACATGGTATTTTATTATGGATTTACAGCAGTAACTAGAGATAAAGTGATTAGGAGTTTGTAGGAAAAGATTTGAAATATCTGTGAACTGTACTTAAAATTAAAAAAAAAAAAAGTATATAAACATGGTTTCCGCAGGTCTTCAAGTTTGATCAAATTAAGGCTTTAGTTTAAGGCTTTAGTTTTAGGTGTTAAATCTGAGCAGAATGTCTTAAATTCAAACCATGGCAATTAAATCATGGCACACACACAAACACAGATCTTTCTCAGTATTTTTGTTTTGTATTGCATTATAAATATATAAACCTTAAAATCAAGATACATTGACTTGAGATGCAAACTGAGGATATGAAGTCTTGTTCTCTGAGAAATGGAACAAAATCGAGTTTATGCTTAAAACGAACAAATATATCAATGGGGTATGAAAACTTTTTTCCCCTTTGAATTAAGTTGAGTTCTGACGAATCTTACGATACATAATCTAAACGATGTCTTGAGGCCACTGGCAGATATTTGTTCTTGTTTCAATCGTAAATTCTATTCATTTTGATGTTTTTTTCATAAAGACTTCATACGTCATTTTGCTTCTCGAGTAAATATATCTTGATTTAAGAATCTTTGGCCGTTTGCGTTGGAAAACGACAAAAATACAGAGGAAGAGCATCACTTTTTGCAGCATGTTTAGAAGGTACAGATAAAGTTATTTCAATATATATATATATTTTGTAAAATTAATTAAAAAGTATAATGGAGATCTGTTGGAAGTTGTATTTTCAAACTTTGAAGCTTTGCTAACACAAGGCATTTACATTTAGAGACCATATTTGTGTTCCATTCAGTTTATTCCCTAAAATTGTCTACTTGGTCTTGAAAAGTCTTAAATTCACCTTTATAAAATTCACCTTCAGAAACCCTGAGAATCGATATCAATGAGACATAAATTAAATGTTTACTTGATCACAGTGTTTAAATGTGTTTTATTCAATAGGAACGTGCACACGATTCTAAATTAACCTTAATCTGCAGGGGCTCCGTAATCTTACTCAAATTGGTGCCAAATTTAAGTTTTGACAGGAATCAATTGTAGTGTTGTTTAGAACTTAACAATTGTAGGTAATCACAAGGTAACCACTTCAGCTTTGAAGTGAATGGCAAATATCAAACAATTATATTACAATTGTACAATTACAATAATTTTTTACAATACAAATAAATATATTTGGCGTACATTTAATTAACTGTATGAAGAAGTAACTGACAGAATGATGCATCATTCTGTCTAACATCTCCTTTTGTAAGTCATAACAAAATAAAGTGCTAAGACATTTTATTTTCGATAAATTATTTTATTCACAACATTAGCTCTCTTAAAACACCTTATAGTGTTATTGTAATCAAATCAGTCCTGAGCTAGATCAAGCTTTAATCTATGCAAACCAAACTATCACTAATGATTTTTTCTTTATTTGTATTTATTTATTTTTGCATTCACTTAGTAATAAAACGATTCTATTATAAGCTAGCTCCACATTGGACAGCTGCAGAAAATCAACTTGTAATTCTAACTGAAAGCGAGACTGACACTGAGACTGTTTTTTCATGTTTAATACTGTAAAGCTGCGTGCTTTAAATCAATCTACTAAATAAAGCGCGTTTTTTTAAATAAACGTGACATCACAGGAGTGAAGATTGTAGTCTGGCGCAAATGTATCCACATCGCTATGATCACATGTGATCAGGTCATGCCAATATTCCCTGCCTGGAACTACTTTAGCCCCCCTTATCGGCAGCCAATCAGATTCAAGCATTCAACAGCCCCGTGGGGAGAAGGAAGTTGAAGTTACATTCAAACACATTTTTTACATGAGATGCTAATTTTTGATGTTAAACCCACTATTGTTTTATATAGAAGTGTTTTATAGTCTGTGTTATAAGTGTTACATAGACTGTTTTATAGTCTACAGTATTTGATGCAATTAGCTACATCAGAAGTAACAGTAATTACAGAAAAATCACGACCCCTTACTTTACTTTAATCCCTTACTTTACCTTTTCAAGGGAAAAGTAATTAAATTACTGCAATTAATTAGGCTACTTAGTAATGCATTACATCCAACAATGGTTAAAGTAGGACAATTAGCAATATGCACGCTGAAAATATATATTTACAGGGAACTATATAGTTTATGTTGGATCCCTTTCTGATTACAAATGCATAGATCCCAATTCCTTTACTTAAAAATTACTAAAGAAATCCCCATGTATTCCGATATTAATGCTTTTTTAAAGTGATGTGAATGGCAGAATCCCCAGCTTGGTGGCGCTGTTGCTCATCACAGTTCTTTATAAGATTGGATAAATACACTGAAAGATGTTGCTGAACGATTTTATTTGAATGTGATGTCCTACAGTCATTGGGATGTAAAAATGTACTGGTTTTATCATGGTAAATCGATCCTTTATACGGTATAGTATCCAGTGGTATCATTTGACTTGCATATTCATTTACCATGCCGTACAAAACGTACTGCAGTACAATAATGGTGTCAGATGGTAATAATGTGGTATCAAGCTCTTCCAAGAACACCATGGTACTACCATGCTACATGATGCCCCAAAACATGGTACATTTTTGAACTTTGGTGGAAGAGATTCCAGTAGGAATGCTTCGGGACTTGTTGAGCAGCTGAAGTTTGAATCCACCGCCAGGTGTCGCTGTTCTCATCACGGCATTCATGAGGCTGTAGTGCGGGTGTTGGAGGCTGGAGGCGGTGTTTTATTGTATGAAATCAGTTTGGGATCCGTTCGTTCAGTCATGGCGTCCGGGAAGACGGTGGATTGCAGCGCTTCCCGCGAATAACCACCGATAAACCGACTCATCGCGACTATAGCCGCTGCATTGCGCTTTATTTTCGCGTGATATCATTTAACAACACAGTTACGGAGCTACCCAGTCACAACGAGTTTTAATTCAGCAGTAAAGGTAAGAATCCTGGTTATTTTATTGGCTCCCCCCATAAACCGGCAGCGAATGAGAGTTACTATTAACCGCACGATCGCTAGACACGCTGATAAATTGTAGCTGTTTCCATGGTTACTTGATTAAATCGCATGAGCCGCCGCTGCTGCCACGCGTCATTTCGTATGTTTCCACTCCTCACATCTGAACATCAAATATTTATTATAATGCTTTACCATACTGCTTCTGCAGAACTCTACTGTACTTTTACGTTTTACAAAAATACTGTGGTAATACCATGTTTTGCTTGATCCTGCAAAAGTACTGCGGGAGCACCATGTTACAGTGATGGTAGTTTATTTAAATGGCACTCTAAGGTACTTCCAAGAATGCATTGGCTTATGTCCAAAAACATAGTATACCTTGTTGTAATTGTGGCATAAAGGTAAGAATCCTGGTTATTTTATTGGCTCGCGCAAATAAACCGGCAGCGAATGAGAGTTACTATTAACCGCACGATCGCTAGACACGCTGATAAATTGTAGCTGTTTCCATGGTTACTTGATTAAATCGCATGAGCCGCCGCTGCTGCCACGCGTCATTTCGTATGTTTCCACTCCTCACATCTGAACATCAAATATTTATTATAATGCTTTACCATACTGCTTCTGCAGAACTCTACTGTACTTTTACGTTTTACAAAAATACTGTGGTAATACCATGTTTTGCTTGATCCTGCAAAAGTACTGCGGGAGCACCATGTTACAGTGATGGTAGTTTATTTAAATGGCACTCTAAGGTACTTCCAAGAATGCATTGGCTTATGTCCAAAAACATAGTATACCTTGTTGTAATTGTGGCACCTTAGTAATACGGTGGTTTTTTTATGCTTATTTTCTTTAAAATACCTTACACTACCATGGTATTTTACTATGGTGTTACCACAGGACAGTTGTGTAAGGGTCACATTGCTTTTCCTTAACTAATGCAACGCAGCATATTGATGTATGGACTTGTAACAGAACTAGATGAAGCACCAACATTGACCTTTTTTTCATAATTGCATTAATTTTCACGTGATGTTGTATTTTCAGTGGATTTGCAGGACATTATGGACTTTCCCAAGGGTCACATTGCTTTTCCCTCAGCCTGCTTTTAACAAATGCAACGCAGCATATTGATGTATGGACTTGTAACAGAACTAGATGAAGCACCAACATTGACCTTTTTTTCATAATTGCATTAATTTTCACGTGATGTTGAATTTTCAGTGCTTTTGCAGGACATTATGGACTTTCCCTGTCACATTAATTCTTGATTCGGCTAACACACACACACACACACACACACACAGTCAATGCAGTTTAACCTACTAACATCTGAACCTCAGGGATTACTCGACTAACCTGCATCCGCTGGCCCACTGTAAGCACACACCTCAGCACGGATTTCCAAAGTCTTTTAGCAGATTGACCACGGTAATCATAATTTCTGCCAAAATATCCTGAAAGCTACAGTTTTTGCTTCATATTTTCCATCTTCAGATTTGTAAACAACATTTCATGCCGTAATTAAAATAAAGACATTTATTCCCAAATTTACTTTGGTGATCGCAATTTTAATTTCTGTAAAATAAGAATATAAAATTACTATCTCCAAATTTAGTAAGAAGCCTTCAGAATGTCATTTTAATTTATTTTGATTAATTAAAATATTATCAGAGCATTGTGGGTGATTTTGTGATGGTTAGTCAAAAGCACCTTTTAGTACGCTTTTCTCATTTGAGGAATCATTCAGGACACACACTGAAGTGTGTACTTAGTATTTAATACTTAGCGTGCTGATCACATCACTGATTTACAGTATTGTTTGTGCTTGCAAACACTAGAATTTAGACATTATGATGGGTGTTGTACTTGCTTAGTTTAATGCTTACAGAGCAAGTCGTGTCCTCAAAGTACGCTTTGTGGAGTTCCCTTCCCATCAATCCCTGGGCCAGCGGTGTTGATCCATGCGTTCAGATGTGTACGTTGAGTCTGTCTCACACTGGGATCACAGAGGAAACCTGTTTCACGCCGTGCGTGCGCCTCAATGAACACTGGGAACTTTCAGGCAAACAAGTTGAAAGGCAGGTTAACTAACCGAGCGAGCATGAGTCTGGGAACGAACCAGCGATGCACGTATTGTGTCCCTCATTCACTTTTCTGCCTCTGTTTACTGTGATGCACATATTGTGCACGTATTGTGTCCCTCATTCACTTTTCTGCCTCTTGTTTACTGTGATTTTATTTTGTAAATAAAGTAACACTTTGGGAAGGCATAAAATGCCCCATTTTACCATGCATGTCCTTTGAAATGAGCCTCTCTTGGCCTCTCATGACTAGCGACCTGCTACTGGAGTCGAATGAAATTTGAGTGGGTTTGGCTTTTGCTCCAGAAGTACTTCCTGTTTCTTCTCTCAAACGAGTTGTTTATCTTTGTGTGACCTTCCGTGTGTGTTCACAGGCTTCCTACTTTGTGTAAAACGTTCCAGTTTGTGGCCTGTTCGCAGAGGTTTCCCTTTCGCTTGTTAGTCAGCATTCACTGTGAGGGCTTTGCATGAAACGCTTCCTGCTAATGGCCAATTATAGAAAAGCGAGTTGTCATGAATCACAGCACTGCATCAGGTCGCACTTATATAATGGACACTCTGGTAGTTGCATAGCAAAGAGCAGATAGCAGTGCATAACAACACCATAGCAACCAATTAGCAATGCCCTAGCATCCACCCAAAAGACTGTAGCAACTACATAGCAATGTGCTTAAAACCACTCAGAATGCTTTATCATCCATATTAGGGTTGTGCCGATAGATGATAGTATCGTGTATCGATTGACGATATCGCCTGTGGCTGATGCCTTTGACAATAGCAAGACGATCATTATTATTATTATTATTATCGGGCCAGTAATACTGACTAATTAATAGGGATGCACCGATACCACTTTTTCCAGTACTCGCCCGATATGATACTTTTTTTTTTTTTTTA